GGAAGGATCTTCTAGATCCCTTCAGGTACAGGGGCCCTAAATCAGACTTCCACAGCAGTCAGTGGAAGGCCAGAGAAGGGGAAGAGATGGCAAAACAGGAGATGCCTCTTCTCATCCATGAAGGTACACATCTCACTGTGGTGCCATATGCTGCCTGGACTGACGAGATTAATCCTGGTCTTGCATGCTGCCCTGGTCTCGCTCTCTGCAAAGGCTGGGCTGCTTCTCAGCCAGCATGTGCTTCATTGAGCAGGCTGGGCAGAACAGGCTCTCTGCTTGCGAAGGTTTCGGGGAGTAAATACGTATTTGTCTCCCTGCTGATAACACTGTCCTGTCAAATATGTATTTCTTCTTTGGAAAGAAGTATCCCACTATACATTGAGAAGACTGTCATTCCAAAGCCAATTTTTTCTCCATTCTCCCATCTTGATGATTCAGCAGATGAGGCACATTTTTTTTCTTCAAAAACCTGCCACATAAACCCCTGTTTATTTCAGTTAACCTTTTCAACCAAAGAGCCAGCTCACTGCAGCTCATCAGTAATGCCTCCATATATCACAACTGTGCAGAGAGCAGGCAGAGATTAATTCAAAGCAATTTTGTGTATAAAATTTGCTCCAAAACTCATCTATCTCTAGAAGTTTATTTACATATCAGAATATTTAGGTTTTTAATTCCAGTGAAGTCTGGCACTGACTGATTTTTAATAAAAATTCCCCAAAAGCTGTGAATTACTTTAGCACCTTCAACTTCTATTAGAATTTGACAAGGAGTCAAGGCACCTAGCACCCAATGAGTGATGCTAGTAGTAATATATAACAGAGGGCAAAATGGACAGAAACTTCCAGTGCTTCAGCAGGAAAGTGGATGAGAATAGTTTTCAAGTTCATCAAAGCAGTCAGCTTTTAGAAATGTTTTACTGCCCATGTCCTTAGGGTCCTAGTCTTTTGCTTGTGTAGGCTTTGTGATTTTGTTAATGTGAAGAACTCAGATTTATGATGTTTGTGACCTTACTGTGTGACTCTGCTTATAATGCTTGTGCAGTGCCATGAAAACACTGGATGGAGGATGACTACTGAGGTCAGTGGGATAGACCACCAGAGGGAACAGAAAGGAGCTCCCAGCCCTGCTCATGTTGAAGTCCTGGCCCTGTTACTCACGTTTTTTACAAATGCTGCTGAAGACCATCCTTTTTCACAGCTTGAGGATGACTTCTGCAGTAATATGACAACTGGCAGAAAAATCCAAGCTGAAGTAGATCCTATACCTTTGTCTTCTCCTTGCAGCACTTTACTATTTCTCATGAATCTGAATTCTTGACAAGGATCATGAGGAGACTTGCATGTGCAAGGGAATAAATGGATAGGTGACCTGGGTGTGGTTCAAAGTTCATGCTATAGATGTGGAAGTCCATGCTTCCTTCCTAAGGCAAATATTAGGGAGAGGAAAGCAAAAAATAGGCTGTGACTCTGCTTATCAGGTTTCACATTTAATACAGCACTGAAGGATAAGAATCACTTATTAACACAGGTCAGGTCAGCAGTAAGTTAGCACTTTCCCACAAGACCAGAGAAAACTACAAAGAAATTGTGTCCATTATATCTTTGAATCCCGGGGCTGCTTCAGAGGCAGTACAGCTCACACAAGGTGCACACTCTGGATTCATAATTCATTGTGTTTCCTACTGCACCTTGCCAAGACACAACTAACACTAGACAGCAACTGGACTGGCTCTTCGGACACACATGGAACAGGATACACACGGAATTCTTCCTGAGACTATCAATGCCATGCTGACAAACATTCTTCTTTTTTCCTCTGTCAGTTCTGTGCAAGCAAAAAGAGTCCTTGGAAACTCTTTGTACACACACACACCAGTACCTGTCAGCCAGGATGCAACAAGCCCTGTGAGCCCAGCCAAATCTGCATAGGCATCTGAAACTAAACCACCTCACCACTGAATCCAGGAGAATTTTGTCAAGATGTTTCTGAAGGGAAGAGACACATCTGACTTTGGAGAGAAGGCAGTTCTGCCAATAGTCTTCCATGAGAAGGTATGAGAAAAAGAAACCAGGCCACTCTCTCTCCTAGGGGAGAGCTGTTAATTGAGGTCTATAGGCTCCAATCCTAAATCCATATCAGCAGTTGAAGAACTGCGACACTGAAATGCATCTCATGTGTGCAGAACCAACAACAGTATCTCTAGCTTAAATAAAAGCTTTAATAAAGCTTATTAAAAATCTGCTTGATGACTAGAAACAAAAGGCAGATCAGCACTAATGAGAACCATGGCAGGTGATAGCTGCAGGTCCCTCTGGATGCAGCAGGACAGGAATGCCCAGCCAAAAAAGCTTTACCAAGAGGCAGCACTGCTGAAGAACCAGAAGATTCACTGCCTCACAAGGTGCTGAAGGCACTAGGCTGAAGCATTCTCCTTCCTTCCCTGCCCCAAGCAGGGAAAGCACACTTCCCCAAGCTTTGAGGGGTTTACAGAAAGTTTGAGGGTTTGCAGAAAGACAGTGGTAATCCACCCAACATGTTCCCTTCAGGAGTAATAGCAGAAAAATATCTCAGAGAACCATAAGTAGTAGGAGATGCTCAATTTGCAGGTAACCCATGCCTACTCATTCATCTAAGCTTAATAGCACTTCTTTTGTTCAAAACCAAAATAGTTCTGAAATAAAATTGCAATTACTTGGATGAAATTCGGCTTTGGTAAAGTCAATGGAAAAATTCCCCTTTCCATCAGTGGAGTCATATTAGCCAAGAATATATTTTGAAAAGGTTAAATAAGCTTGTGTTTGGACTTTAAGGATCTTTGTGTGCTGTACCTGCCAGTTTAAATGATGACTACAAAGATCTGTTATAAAACTTCCAGGAGAGGCGAGAGCTTTCCCTGTGTCACCATTTTTAATATACTGTGACTCTTGCTCATAGTAAATTAGATTATTTATCCCCTTTATTTATATGCACTGCTCTAACACAGTAACAAACCAAAGTGACAGATGCATCTATATCAGTCGTCAAACTCAATAACAAAGCAACAGCTACTGTGTGTAACTTTACCCTATTGCTATCAATTTATATAAAAGACAAATTCTTCAAGCTGTGAATGTGTGAAAGTAAATTCTTTACCATTCTGGACTCGCCAGCAATTACTTTGTCCTCTGATCTCAAATCCTTCCCCAGGCTGCTCTCACATCATGGGGGCCTAATGTTGATCTCACAGACCTTATCCCAATTTACTTTCTGGCTTCCAGAGAAGCTGTTCTTTATTACTCCGCTGAAATTGAAGGCAGAATCAGGCCAATGGTTGGAAATAAACAGGATGCAGAGTTCTTCCATTATGGAGTTCAGAGTCTAAGCCAAATGCAGAATGTAAAAGGCTGAAGCAAACCTTATTGGATTGCAGACTAACTCCTCCTGCCTTCTGCAGATAAATTTTACATTTACATGTGTAGGGGAGACTCCCACTGCAGTCAATAAAAATTGTGCTCAACCAATGTTATTTGTCACCAATCCAACTGCCCATTCTGTAAGTGCTTTGCTGAAAAAAAGGGAAGTCTTCAGGCGACAAGCTTTCCTGATATTGTGTTTAAACTATCTCAGATTCCCACGTAGAATATATTAGTGTTACCAGGTTGCCCGTAATATTCACTTAATTTATGCTATTCATTTACTTCTTATTCCAAATGGAAGATCTATTTCACTGGTATATTAAAATAAACCTACTAAAGAACAGCACATTTTAAAATAGTAACAGATAGTGTCTGTAGAGTTGTACAGATTTAGATTCTTACTTTAAACTTAATTAAATAATTCTTAAAAATTGAATTAGCAGTATCCACCTTTCACTTTGCTTCTTCAAACATGTGCTTATTGTATGAGCCAGCGTACAATATAATATAATATCATTTTATAGACAGCAAGTCTGGGCCAAAAAAAAATTCTGGGAAAATATCCATCCCTTAATTGCTAATTATGTTTATAAGTGTAGATTTTTGAATGAATGCTATACAGGACTACCCCTCAAGCAGCAGTGTTCCCATAGAACCAATTTGTGGATATATATACATCTCAATAAAATTTTTGTTGTCTTTATGTACGTAAGACAACCCATTTGCATCACATCGTATCACACTGATAAATGAGGACTTTTATATTTTTGAAATTAGCTCTAGATTTGAAATTTATTTTTGCAATGTCCTAGACTTAGGGGAAAATATGCTATTTTTATTCATTAATTGCTTTGCAATTCATGAAACTCCTCAATAAAAGGGAAGTAAGTAGATGAACTCTGGGATTTACAATAATTATTTGCTTTTGGTATGAAGTGTTATCACAACAATCATAGTTTTTAAACTGTTAACCAATTCTTGATTGTGTTTTGTCTTTCACATCCTTGTGATGTTACATCTCAATTTAGCAAATTGCACCTTTTTTCCTCTAGCTATAATGGCTTTTATTTCAACACTTGTTTCACAGCTTTGAAGGCGTGCCTTTTGCAGGCATGCTGTTCCGATCATGTTACACTTTACAAATATGGGCACAAAGAAACTACAGTCTCAGATGCATTTACACAGATGCTTATCTTAGAGCACAGATTCAGCACAAAAAAAAGGTCATCTGTCATTACCCCAATAATTTGTAAGCGAAGGCTTACTTATACTATTTGCAAAGTAAACAACAATTAAATTTGAACAAAGAGTAAAATATGCTTTAAGGTACTTTTAGCCATTCAGCAAGCTTAGAAAGGATAACAACGACTGCATTGCAAACATTTCTCTTTTCTTGTGCCGCTGGACAGACACTGGATCGATTAGTACCGTATGGGTCCGGCGGCGGGAGGGAGCATTTACTGCAGCTCCGGTGGCATCTCTCTCCTTTCCTTTGTGATCGCTGATCCAACAGCCCTACATCACATTGTTTTTCTACCCGCTTGATGAGCGAGTTAATGTGTTTCTTCTCAGGAGACCTTTAAGCTTAAAATATTTCTTTAATTAACGGAGCCTAATCTTAAAAAGCCAAAGCCGGCTGCGGCGCTTCCACACTGTATAGCTGCGGGAGTCCCACCGCCCCGGCTCACGAGGAAGGGCTGAATAAAGGACCATGTCTTCAACTTTCCGGAACGGCCACAAAGAACCCTCGCACCCCCGGCCAGACCTGCCGGGGTCCCGATGCCGAAGCCCCGCGGCGCTCCCCGCGCTCGGCAGGCCAGGGACACGGGGACAAGGCGAGGAGGATGCCGGCCCGGCCCCAGCCCACGCACCTCCCGCCCTCCCGTGCCGCTTTGAACTTCTCCAGCACAGGGCCCTGAAGGTGCAGCGCGGTCCCCCGGCCCCGCCACACCATAGCGGGGGAAGGCGCAACGCCAGCGCCCCATCTACGCGCACCCCACCCGCCTCCGGCCGGCGCGGGGGAAGATGCCCCGCCGCCGCCGGCCCCACACACTCCCCCACAGGGGGAAGATGCAGCTCTGCCGCCAAACCCCTGCCCGTGCGGAGGAAGGTGCGGCTTTCCCCCGCCGCCCGGCTGACCCCCTCCCGCCGCAGCGCCCGCCCCTCCCGCCGGGGCCGCCCCGGCCGCCGCTGCCCTTCTCGAACAATGAGCCGGGAGAGCGCGGCACGGCCCCGGGGCAGCCCCAGCATGACCGCCCCTCCGCGGCCCCGGCCCCCTCCGCCCGTCAACCCGCGCAAGCTCCCGCCCCGCTGTCGTAGGGCCCGGCCCCGCCCGCGAGGTACCGGGGGCGGGGGCACCCCCATCCCGGGAGGGGCCGGGCGGCGGCGCGGGGGACGCTCGGCCGCGTGTGGGGGGCGGCCCCGGCGGGCGGTGGCTCCCGGGGGAGGGCAGCGCCCGCGGGGCGGGGGCGGTGCCGAGCCGAGCCGAGCTGCGCCGCGCTGAGCTGCTGCGAGCCGCCCGCCGCCCGTGTCACCTCCCGGCGCCGGTGCCGGTGCTGCTTGCGATCCGGCGGGAGCCGCGGTGCCGCCCGCCCCCGGCGGTGCCCGCGCCCTGCGCTTTGTGCGTGCGGCGGCCACCACCATGCGGGGGGAGCGGCACCGCGTGGGACGCGGCGAGGCGGAGCGCCCGCGCCGCCCCGGCTGCTGCACCTCGGGGGGCAGGGCCCCCAGAGAGCCCTGAGCGCCCGGCGGTACGTAGTGGCACCCCCGGGCCGAGAGCACTTCTTTTTTCTTTTTTTTTTTTTTTTTTTTTTGGCGGGGGGCGGCCGGTGGTGGTGGTGAAGGGGGAGGATTTCTGCTGTGCATCGTTTACGGGGAGGAAAATCCTGTAGGTGAAGCCACATGGGTTCTCAGTGGCATAGCTTAGTGGCTTCTTGCCTTTACAGATTTCAGGCGGGGAGCGTGCGGGGTGTGTTTTAGGAGGGTTCGCCTTCTCAAGAGGGCTTGAATAGATACGTTTAGAGAAGCAGTGCTTTCCAGGAATTTAAATGAGACCCTTTTCTGTGGTTGCTTTTCAAGGCTGTTCTGTTAGTTCTATATTTGCTCTTGCCGATTGCTCTTATCAATGGTTAGGCAGCTGTGTTAGCATATAAAAATCAGTATTCTCAGAAGAAAAAAAAAAGTCTCGGCAAATTCACTTCTAATAAGCGGTGTAGATCACTTTTGTGGTCTCTTTCTATATTTTATCAGTAATGTTATCATCTCTAGTACTCAGCTGTACCATTTGTAGCTTATTTTGTCATGGCAATGTGTTTCATTTGGTACTAGAAAAAATTTCATTGGGTTACTCATTCAAGTAATTTAGATGATCTCTTGGAGTAAGGTTTAGTCATCTCATTTCTTCACGTGTAGGGAACTGTTAAGGCAGAAGGCAGCGACAAAGCTCAAGGTTATGGTTTTCGCACATTTTTCAATCTGATTTTCCTTTTTCAGTCTTGCAAACTTTCTGAACTTTAACCCTTTTGCAATGAAACTTTTCAGGTGTGGTGTTTGCATCCAGGTAATTTTAATACTTATATATCTATGTATGCATCTTTTTTTGTTGTTGTTTGGAAAACTCATGTGAAAGTAATTCAGCTGGTTTTGATAATGTGGGACTGCTGGATATGGGGAAAGAATTACTACAATTTTTCCATTTAAAGATGAAGTTCTTGCAGTGGGTTGTTTGTTTTTTTTTTTTTTAAGGGGGGGATTTATTTTTTTTATAAATTCGAACTATAGTGTAGAGGTATTTTTCTTTCATGTGCATTTCTGATTAAAATACTGCTTGAAATCCTGCCATAGCTGCCTAATGGTTTTGTGTGTGGCTTGCTAAGACCAAATGCTGCACTATTGGGAAAAGATGTGCTATATTTGCTGAATGAGAAGCTGTGATAAAGGGTCTGGAGGTGAGATCCTGTCTATGTATTCAAACCCAAGGACATTCAGCACTGATTTCTGCAGCTGACAACAAAGAGATGTCTTCGCAGACACCTCTGCTGTAGGAGGCAGGGCTCCTCTTGGAATTTGCTGTGGAAGTGCTCGATTTGAGATCTTGCAAGTGAAGTCTTCAAACTATTTGTAGACAGAAGTCTTCTCTGATGGTATTTAGGACCTCTACAACTCCTGGTGTTCTAGTCAGAGAACTCTTTTCTGTTCTGTGCTTCATCTGGGCAGAGGACAGGATTTCCCAGCATTGTCCACACTGCACGTTCAGAGTTGGAGGATGTATACAAAGTATTAGAGGTTTGTTGCAAGGTTACAGACCTCTGCATCTATGTTTTGTGATGTATTTTCTACAGAGGAAATGAAAAGAAAGGCCAAACAATAGGGAAAGTGTTAGAAAAAGTTTATAAAAGTAGCCTAAAGGGATGTTAGAGTTGCATATGTAAACATTCCAGTGGAAAGACATCATGGATAAAGTTGTATGTTCACCTTATCGCTTGTCCTTTGAAATCTGAAAAATGATTGTTCTATGCACTCTTAGGTTAATCATAGAGTTGTGCATAAATAAAATCTGGAGAGACTGTTTCCTGATTTAAAATTAAGAAAATGAAATAGAAAATAATTGTAACACTTCAGAATGATATTTTTCTATTGCAGATTAGTGAAATGAGATAGAACAGTATCCTCTTGGTAGCATCCTAACAATTGCATTGTAAATTGATGCTGTGTGTGCTAGTTACTGCATATACTATTGGAGCATGCTGGATTTGATGTAAGTTGTTGGAATGCTACTGGTCCATCACAAATAGTAAGCAAATCTCTCTGCAGTAAATTTCAGATTGTGTTTTGGAAACTTCTCTGTATTTGCTAAGGAATTGGCAAGTGGTCTACAGAGAAGTACTTGGGCATATGGTATTGGCTCATTTTTCATGTATTTAGCTACTAATGGCATTAAAAGAAGCCAAAATATATTAAATACCTCTCTAATATTAATTATCTTGTTAAGAAATTGCTGCAAATACTATTAAAATCACAGATGTGTACAAAGGCTTTGCGATCAGTGTGAAGGCAAATCCAGGAAATAGGGTCAGTGGGAAATCTGTTGATCTGTGAAGGTCTGTTGAGATGCTGTTGTTGCTAAAAAAAAGAAATCGGTTGCCCCTGTGGCACTGGAACTTTGGGACTTGCTTCAAGGAATGAAAAATCTGATTTTGCTGCTACTTTTCCAGTGTAGAAATCATTTTTGTTGAGTAAGCCTGTTTTCTCAGCATAAAGGTTTACAACCCTTAAATAGCTCTTCCTGACATTAAGCAGTATCCCTTTCATGTGTTTGAAGTGTGTTAGAAAGGCTGACTGGCAACACTGGTACTGATGAATGAAAAAGAAAGAAATTTACATCATCAGATACTTTCTTTAAATTATTTCCCTTGTTGTTAATTATTACCAAGCATTAGACTGCCACACTTGAATATAATTAATGTAGTAAATGGCTTATTAGGCACCATCTGAACTTTTGCCTTGTTTAATTATAGAAGCTTAGTGCAGTGGCCTGTGTACAATATTCACCCCAAATAATTGCTTTCAGACTTTTATCTGACCATGGTTATTTTTGGAGCAGCTGCGTGCATGGCTTTTCCCTGAACTTTGCAGTTCTTAGGCTCTCCTTTGCAGTCCTGCCACTGCATTTCGAATTTGCATAACTAAAAGCAGTTGAGTTTTGATTTTGCTGGTAGTAATTCAGAGCAATTGTTCTGCATGCCATTCATATGTTAATTTGTTTTGAGCTTCCTTAAAATTTTGTAATTCATATTTGTATTTAGGTACCAACCAATCCATGACACAAACAGGAAAGTTTTAATATTTTTTTTCTGAAGGTTTTTAATTGGTTACTGAAGTTAAGAGTATTTTTTTCAGTGAGACTGTATGTCTTGAAAATGATGCTAAGAATGTAAAAGGAGTGGCACAGGATGAAATTTGCGCCACAAAGAATTTACAATAAAGGGTTCAGATACAGCAAACCCCTCTTCATGTCCTTAATCACATATACTAATTTCATATTAAATGCCATCTTCCTCCAGTAGAACTCACAGTGACATGTTTAGAGTGCAAGATCATATGAAAAGCTGACTACAACTACCATATTATAGCTGAAAATAATACAAAAACCTTGATATTTGTTATTGGATTTATGAACATTTTGTATTTTAGATCCAGTCTTTTCTAAGGAGCAACCATAGAAAACTGATTTGCTTGATCAGTAACACTTCTGAAAAAAGCAATCTTGCAAAGATATTCAAACTTATTTTTATCTGGTCTGAAAATTTTACATAGACTAGAAAGAGTGCTTCAGTAGTTGGCCTTGAGGGGAAAGTATGCCAAAATCATTCTGCTTGCTGTATGCTTTTTTTCAGAGATTGTCTCCTTCCAGAAGGATAAACGCTTTAAGGGTTAAATGTAGGGAGCTGTTGTCAGTATTCTTGATGAGGGTCCTTGACCTTGGGAACTTACTCCTGACAGATGCTGTGACAGACCTTGTTGGTCTACAGACCTTCAAAGCCTTCTTTGACACCAGTCACTTTGGAGAGGCCAGTTCTTCCATGCTGCTGGAGCTGGCTAGAGGCTGGGGAAGTGTCACAGAGCTAGGCTCTGAGGTGTGGTGGCCTGGATTGCTGTTATATTTTGTTGGGGATGTGGCCATGCAGCTGGTCATATGTGTGTTACTGTGCTTTCTGGAAGGTTGCATTTAAGAAATCTAAATGTAAGTGAAAAGTAAATGTTATTCATTGCATAGTTCTGCGATTGTCATCAGAATAAGATTCACCACAGGTTTTGTACACTCCACTGTTTATTGTATTAGATTGTATGAATGCTATCCGACAGTAAGGTGTTCTATAGCTAGGGTTGTGAAATGACTGTGAGTGCTCTGAGGACTGAACACAAAATCTTTATAACAACCAAATGGTAGTTCACCATGGAAAGTTTCTTCTTCCCATACGTATCTGTCTGGCTGGAAGATATGTGGCCAACCAGATGGAGAGGGCTTAGTGAGATGGGTTTGTTGTGTGGCTTTCTGAATTTGTTCTGTCATTGGTGGAGCCAAAGGTCTGGGAGGGTATAAAATTTGATGAGGTCTCTTTATAGGATCCTCAGTTTAAAGTAGCTCTGCTCAATTCTGTATTTGATTTTGGTAGCGGAGTTGCCTTTCAGTTCATCACTGGAAGGACTAGTTTTAGTCTAGTCACTGTTATATCAGTTTCTCAGCAAAGGTTATGGTCCTATCTCTATGAAATACCAAGTCTCTTCGGCCCATGATGTTCTGTTTGAAGGACGGGGACCTGAGTAAAACCTTCTGTGTATAAAAACGTAGTGATGTGCTTTACAGTCATGGTCCAAAATGCCCTCAAACATTACATAATTGAGTAGTGGAAATTTGACATTCTTCTATGAGACTGATGCCTAGATGAGAAAATGCTAGTTAAAAGTGCTGTTTCAACACAATCTGAAAAATGTTGGAGGTATTTTATAATTCACTATGCAAAGCAGGAGGCATTTTCCTCTGGACTGACAATGGTATATCAAGCCGTTCACCCTTACAGTGCGGCAGGGAAGGGAGGTCAGTAACAAATGAAAGTTGTTACCATCTGATGGCTGTTTAGTCA